TTTTCTTTTCTTTGTTTTTCCCTTTTTACATAATACTGCATGGATTATTGTATCCCTTTCTTGTCTGTTCCTCTTTTCGTTCCACTGCCTGCCGTGTATACCGTCTTTTCCCTTTATTCTTTGCGGCCACTTCCTTCTCTTTTGCGGTCAATGCCGATTTTGTTGGGACGCGAAAGAGTCGAAGTCGAACTTCCGCCGGTGAGGGTGGAGTTGTGGTGAGGGGAAACCACTTTTCCACCGCGTTGAAGGCTCTTTTTCCCTCCGCCGCTGTGATGGAGGCGTTGGAGTTTGTGTTTGTATTTCCATTTTCCACGGTGTAGACATCTGCGGTTTTCCAGAGTTCCTCTAACTGCATTAGGTCAATATCCACACAGCCAAAAGAGGCATATTCGTAAATAACCACACGAATACGATCGAATCGACGTACAAGGAAAAGACCCACCGCGGCGGAACTTTTTTCATCCCATTGTGTACTTTCACGATGAATAAGATAAGGTGTGCGAAATGGTTGGGTATCAAATACAGTGAGTGGTCTTTGTGTGGAGGGAAGTCCATTACAAACCCACGCCTCTCCATGGCATTTAAATCGATGGGGAAGTGTTGGTTGTAAATGACGAACTTCAAGAAAACGAACTTTAACGGCGTAGTGCATAAGCATTTCACATGATTCCTTCATTTCCTTCCAAAGTGATGGGGGAATAGCTGAAAAGGCTGAATGTCGCCAATCTACAAGATTATGTTCAGTGTTAAGTACACGATGTGGATCGGCAATACGGTCTAGTCTATTATTCATATTATTATTATTATTGTTACTATTCCCAATTCTATATCCACCACGGTACTGGGCAATACAATACAAGTACGGCATCACGGAAGAAAATCCATCCGCACTGTTAGCAGGTGCATACTCATGCAAAGGTCGGTATTCAAATATTGGTACCATATGCTCTGCCGATTCCTCATTCTCATCTTTTTCTTCATCTTCAATGTCTTCGTATTCATCATCATCATCTTCTCCTCTTCGTTCAGATTTTGGTGTTCGTTGGAGAAACTGCTGTTGATCAAGACGACCGTCTGGGTATGCTAAAGAAAATGGCACCTCTTCACATTTCACCATTAATCCTAATACTACCATACGTATGGGATAAACTTTTCCATCTGGTCCTACAAATGTACGTGGAGTCCGTTGCTCTTTTCCTTGTTTTTTATTCTTCTTATTTCCCTCACCATTATTATTATTATTATTATTTTGCTTTGCAGATGCTTCATTCTTTTCCTCTTCCACTTCATAGTGAATATTCCACCGATCAATTTCAAAAGAATTCGGTCGCTCTAATGTACGGTTTTGCAAACGCATATATAATTTTGGTACATCGTAGATACTCTTTGTGTGTTTCGCAGCATCTCCAAAACTTTCCACATAAATGGCCCCAAAGAGAATGGTCTGCACCTCAGGAGGAATACGATAGGTAACCAAATCAATAAACTCTGTATCGCCTACAGTACCAAAGCCGTTAATCGCATCTCCTGAGTGTCGTGCTGCGTGTGGGGCAAGTGAGTTCAATCGTTTTTGTTTAGGGTACAGTAAATCCACACAGCAATTGTCTGCATCCAAGAGAACCATGAAAGCATCCAAGTCATGTTCACCATACCAACCAACACCAAACCGAACATCTGAGAGTAAATGTTCTTTCTGCATGGGAACTGGTTTGGAGAGAGAATAGTCTGGTAATCGCTTGACGGCATCATCGCGTGAGTTACGATCCACACCGAGTACATCCATCATAAGTGGAAGGACATCCACAAATGTATATCCAAAGGTACGAATATTTAACTCCCGCAAATCCCATAATTGCTGTTCCATGTATTCCATACTTCGATCACTGCTGTTTGGCGGTGGTAATCGACATAACATACATGCAAGATTTGCGGTTCCATTACCAGTGGAATGTTTTAAATCAATTGTTCCCACACGTTCATTTGCGGTTTCATTAAATACCACCAATTTTACGGATGGTAAAGTAGTGAAGTCTGCCCCGGTGTAACTTGTCACGACGAGAAAAATAACATCCGCCTCACTTGGTATTTTATGCATAACAAACGTGACCGACTCATCACAGAACTCCCGTTGTGGTTTTCGAGGAACGGGTCGTCCTTCCTCATCAAATAAATAACCCCCGCCGCGGTTTTCATCCAATGCCTCCTCCACCTCATCCAATTCCTCTTCTTCATACAAGCGTGAAAAGATGGCCTCTGTAATGCCGAGCCGCTTGAGATCGCCGTTTCTTCTATTTCCACTTCCACTGCCGCGATCCCCGCCGGGGCCGTTTCTTAATTGATATTCCCGTCGCCGTGCGGCTAATGCGATGCCGGGCAGTTGATTCTCCTCCTCGCCGCCTATTCGACTGTCGCCGCTCACAAACATGTACGGCAGCTGCTGCGGGTCCACGAGAAGACCGGAGCTGCGCAGCGCCTGTTCGTCTGTGCCCTGTGGAAAGGGATGATTGAAGAAGACGGTGTCGAGCAACATCCCCTCCGCGGTGAAACACACAGCACTGAGATCGAGATCAATCGGATCGGCGCCAATAAAGTCCCAGCGAAGACCAACAGACACCGCAACGGTGCCAGGCACACGGAATACCTTTTGACGAAGATCAAACGCCATGGAAATAATACACAGAGAGAGAGAGTGAGAGTGTGTGTGAAAGAGATATAAAGTAAAAGTTAGTTCAGGACTACTCTAAGAAATTAAATATATATATATATATATATATATATATCAACTGATACTACTATTTTTTTGACTTACTATAATAGGAATAAAGAGACACTTTCTTCTTCCTTATTGCTTATATATATATACGCACAATCGCAAACAATGACCGTACAATCTCTAAAAAATGTACGTATTTAGTATTGTCTCTTTTCCTTTGAGAACTAATAGGATAACAGCAAAAAAAATGGTTCAATATGTCAAGAAAAGAGAAGAGAAGAGAAGAGAAAAAAAAAGAGTAGACAAGAGGAAAAAGAAAAACAACAAGAACAACAAGAAAAAGAGGTTATAGAGTAAAGCAGTTAAATAGCATCTAGTGAACTTTAGAAGAAAAAAAGTACACACACACAAACGCATAAATAAACATAAACTTCCATATTCCGTACAGAAGAATAATAAAAAAAAAAAACAAGGATACACAGTTACACACATACACACATTGTAAATACACATATCCAGAGGCATATACAGAGTGGAAATAAGAAAAAAAAAAATTAAACATTCCGATTACCCCATTCTCATTAACAAACGGTCATACTTTTCTTGGGGAGTAATTTACATTATTTTATTTTTTTTTTTTGCTTACTTTATCTCTGTATACGCCACTCATATATTAGCGTCGAAATCTCTCTCTCTTTCTGTTTGTGTGTATTTGTGTGAGTTTTTTCTTTTCTTTTCATGCATATTTCTGTTTATCTATGCATGCGTGTTGTTTTTTTTTTTTTTCTTCAGTTTAACAATCTCTTCTGTTGCTGCCGCACGACCAACGCTCTCTGTATTTTTATTTGTTTTTTTCTTTTTTCGTTTTACCATCATTTCTTTCCTCTTCCTTCTCTTTCTCTCTCGTTTTACTACACATTTATTCCTTTCATCCTTTCTGCTGCTAGACATGGGTGCATTCGCGTGGGAGTTTTTCTCAGAGCCATCCACACATATTACACATACATACACTTATATACACATACATTAAAAGCAGAAACAGAAACAGAATATATATATATATATATATAT